CCCTTTGTACGAACAAAAGTAAGAGAAATTTAGGATAAGAATACGAACATGTTCTTGCATGAGGCCCATTGATCTCAGCCAAAGGACAGATAAGTGACAGGACAGGGGTTCTTCATGGGGCCAATCAGATTTCAGCAGGGGGCAATGCCCCAGTGGCCCCGCCCCTAGAACCGCCCCTGAGATGGATTATCAGAGCAAATGTGTGAGGCCCCCTCAGCTTACCTCTACAGCACTCCTGCCCATGGAGATCACCTGGAACAGAGTGACAGCCTCCACATGTTTCTGCTCGACCCGTCTGCCCCGCGTCCTGCTGGTGCCGCTGCAGCCAGCTTCAGCRCTCGTGCTCTCCTCGTTCTCCAAGACGCTGCGAGCTCTTTTACGTCGCTTCTGCAGGATGAAAACCAAAAGGTGACTGCGACGCTGTCTCTGGGCAGTGCTGGAACTTTTATCAACCTTTTTTTGTAAAGTGTTTTTTTGCAAAAAAGACTCAATGGTGTTATTAACACCAGCACATTTCAAATTTAATAAGTCAAAATGCTCCGTGCAAACCTGATCTGTTCTGATAATAAATCATAATATACTTCCACAACAGCATTTTTTTTTTTTGCATTTTACTTTTTGTCATCAGCTCTCATATTACAGCAGCACAACGGTTGGTAGCTGAAACCTACAGTCTTCTGCCTGTTTTCACTCCCAGAGTCCTCCTCTGAGTGGCTGACAGCTCCAGAGCGGGTTCTCTCTGCATGACTGTTTGTGCTGGAAGAAATAAAAACATCTAATYTGAAAACATCCAACATGCACACAGGAGGAAATGTGAGAAGAAATTCATGCTGTAAAGCACTGGCTCAGGTAAATGTCTTACTTTTGTTTTGAGGACCTGGATGCAGCTGCAGCTGAAGGCTCTGGTATCATGTCCTCAGATCTTCACAACCAAATGTGTCTCTGCAAACACGGTGTGAACAGAAAATGTGAAAATATTGTTTTCTTTAAAACGTTCTTTTGTTGTGTCCCATGCACTGGAATAAACACATCATTTAAGGGAATAACAGGTCGCTGTTAAAGCCTCAGATTTACCTTCTTTACACAGCCTCATCCCTCTGTGATGTTAGGTCATTTCCGGGTTACATTCTGAAGGCTGTCAGACTAAAACATATGATGTTATCACATTTCCGTCGTCTGAACCCTCAGCTCTCACAGTCAAGTTACCGAACAGATTAACTCGAACTTGATTGGCCACCGAACCGACACCGAGAAATCTGATTGGTTACTCATWACGTCACTCATGATTAAGCTTCTGTTATGAAGCCGACAGCCGTCCTGTTCAAGTCCGGACGGTGGAGACAATTACAAACTAAAATAAAGAACAACACCAATGTTGTAATATTTTTATAATATTGTTTCTGCTGACGTTTTAGTGTAAGAATTCCTTCATATCTTGAATAATGAGTCCTCCTGTGGGTTTCAATTAACTCCGTCCTTTGTTGCYAATTCAGGAGGGAGCTGTCGTGGTATTTCCTGGTTTACTCTGATTTTACGTCAGTCTGCCAGCAGGGGGCGCTGTTTACTCACTGTAGGGATTTCAAAGCAAAACAGAAGGTTAAAAATTAAACTTTGAACTTAAGATTAATTCTTTCTTTTATTAATTTATTCATTTCATTTAAAC